CCTCCAAACCCAAGGAGGGGTTGCTATGAGTCGAATCTGACTCTATGGCAGTGAGTTTGGGTTTTGGAAGGGTCTTAACAAGGGCCCAATACTTGCATAAGTTCATTTTACAGGAAACTCATAAGGAATTCCTGCTGTCCAGTGTTGGAACTTCTCAACCTTCCACACTCCTAATTTTCTAGGCTGTACAATTTCACCATGGAAGTCAAGAACCCCTTTAGAGCTTCCAAGCCAATTGCTCTCAGTCTGTCCTGGGTGGAACTAGTGTATTTATTCCCAGCTAAGTAAATAGCCCCTTCAAACCCAGACCAAACTCACTGCCATCCAGTTGATTCTGACTCATAATGAACCCCACTGGGTTTCCAAGGCTGTAAATCTTTAGGGAAGCAGATTGCCTCATTTTTCTTCTGCAGAGCAGCTGGGGGGGGGGGGGGGGTTGAACCACAACTTTTTGGTTAGGAGCCAAATGCCTTAACCACCATACCACTAGAGTGCCTTTTAAATAGTCCCTTGGAGATGCAAACGCAAAAGTGCTTGATGACTAAGGCTGGACTACTAACTGAAAGGTTAAGGCTTCAACTCGCCTAGAAGTGCCTAGAAAGCAAGGCCTGGTAATCTGCTTTCAAAAGGTCATGTTCATGAAAACCCTATAAAATGTAGTTCTACTCTGCAACACATGGGGTCACAATGAGTGGTAATTAACTAGAAAGCAACTGATTTGGAGAAATATTGACTGCTAGATATGGCTCTACGTTTATTAAGTGTCAATACAACTCATTCTACAAACCAGTGAAGAGCCTATGAAATTCTGATGTCATAAAGCATGGGCTTTTAAAAAGATAAACAGCAAATCCTCCCAAGCTTTAATGTTTCCATGTGTCCTAAAATTGGATATTGACAAACCATTTGAAGTTTAATACTAACTTGAGCTTTAGTATTTTTCTTAAAACTTTTCTTAAGGTAATTTGGTCTGATGTGCAGAAGGAAAAAAAAAAAAAAAAGATCATTTTAAGGTTGTTCTGAAAGTAGGCAATCCCCTAAATGCTTACAGACCATGCCTCAGTTTCCACATCTGGAAAAGGATGGTCTCCAAGTTTCCTTCCAACCCCAACATGGTAGATATTATACTTTTGTGCTTTCATGTGCTGAGCCAAATTATCTTTTATTGTTATTGTTACCTGTTATTAAGTAAGACCCTGCCCCATGGCAACCATGTGCCAAACAAAACAAAAGCTGCCTGGTCCTGATTGTGGATCAGACTGTTGCAATCCATAGGATTTTTACTGACTGATATTCTGAAGTAGATTGCCAGTCTTTTATTCTTAATTCATCTTACTCTGGAAGCACCATTGAAACCTGTTCAGTGTCATAGCAACACACAAGCCACCACTGACAGGAAGGTAGTGACTGAGTATGAAGTACATTAGCCAGGTATTGAACTGGGGTCACCTAAATGAAAGGTGAGAATTCTGCCATTGAATCACTGCTGCCTTCCTGAGGTATCATTACCCACAGCCATCAAGTTGATTCTGACTCATAGTCAATCTACAGGACAGAGTATAACCACCCAATAGGGTTTCCAAGGCTGTAAATCTTCATGAAAGCAAACTGCTTTATCTTTCTCCCATGAAGAAGCTGGTGGGTTTGAATTATCAACCTTTTGGTTAGTAGACAGTGTTTTAACCACTGCTCAGGACCATAGATAGTCACAGTGGACATCAAGCTCATTTGGAATACTTACTACACAAGAACATTGTTCCACATCCTACTTTGGCGAGTAGTGACTGGGATCTTAAGAGCCTACAAGTGGCCATCTAAATGCAACTATGGGTCTCTCCTTGTCCAGAGCAAAGAGGAATGAAGAAAACCAAAGACACATGGAAACAATTAGTCCAAGGACTTGGTACACCATGTGATCCTCAGTTTATATGACTATGAGACCAGAAGAACTTAATGGTGCTTGGCTACCACTGTCAACCACTCAGAGGGGGATCTATATAGAAGATCCTGGATAGAATGGGAGGACAATGTGGAACAAAACTCAAAATCATTAAAAAAAAAATTAGGAGGACGAGGTTTGCTGGGCTGATAGAGCCTGATGGAACCACTGAGACTATGGCCCCTAGCTACCCTTCAGGTCTGGAAGTGAACCCACTTCTGTGGCTTCCAGCCAAACAAAAGACAGGCATATGAGCTGAACATTTACATTAGGGTGATACACTCCTTGGAGAAATCAATCATGGGAGAATAGAAGGGGTGTCTACGCACAGGGAGACAGCTCAGGGGGCCAGAGTGAATGGAGGGAAGGACACAGGGAAGAGGTAACTATCAGGAGGAAATGGGAGGGGAGGTGTTGCATTGTGGTAAATTGTAGTCAGTGTCATGAGACAAAGTGTATGTGAGCTGCTGTATGGAAAGTAAATTTGCTCTGTAAATTTTCAACCAAATCACAATAAAAATGTAAAAAAAAAAAAAAATGTTTTAACCACTACACTACAAGAGCTCCTTGAGGTATCTTTGTTGTTGTTGTTCGGTGCCATTGAATCAGCTCCAACTCACAGTGACCATAAGTACAATAGAGGAAACACTGCTGGGTCCTGTACCATCCTCACAATCCTTTCTGTGCTTGAGCCCATTGTTGCAGCCACTGGGCCAAACCATCTCTTTGAGGAACTTCCCCTTTTTCACAGACCCTCCCTCTACTTTACCAAGTGTTATATTCTACTCCAGGAATTGGTGCCTCCTGACAACTTGGCCAAAGTAAGTGAGACAAAGTCTGGCTATTCTTTCTTCTAAAGAACATTCTGGCTATGCTTCATCCAGGACAGCATTGTTAGTTCTTCTGGCAGT